TATATGTATGTACGTATATATGTATAAATGTTTGTATGTGCGAAGAGACCTCGAAGCCTAGTATACTTCTGGGCATAGTACCATTGAGCTATGTAACACCATGTTTGTGACAACGCCTGGGCAGCTTTGTGCTGCCAAGCAAGAACCGAACTTTGTGTGACCACATCCAAGTCCGGGAGTCTCTCAGTCTGACAGGCCCATAAACCGACCACCACTTCGGCTCAAGAATTGAATCTTCGGAACTAACTGATACTCGTAGATCCTACCTACTGTGCCTGTGTCCCCTTTTGCACAGACAGCATCGGATCTCAGTGCCCGACTGCGAGAAAAGATTGCCGAGCTTGCCCGCAAGGGGAAGGGAAGTGTCAACACCATAAGTGTGCGACCAGAACATCTTACAGTATATTGTTCGGTGAAATGAGCATTCTGCGATATCATCCTATACCCACCCTCACGCAATATTTATATATGTATATAAGTATATATGTTTATATGTACATTTGAAATATATGTATATATGTATATATGTATATATGTACATCTGTATATATGTCATATGTGTATATATGTATATACGTATATATGTCATATGTGTATTTATGTACCTATGTAAATGCATGTATATATGTATCGGTGTATCTATGTATCTGTGTATATATGTATATATGTCTGTATGTCTGTCTGCATCTATGTATATATGTACATATGTACATATGTATATATGTATATATGTATATATGTATATATGTATATATGTATATATGTATATATGTATATACGTATGTATGTATGTATGTATGTATGTATGTATGTATGTATATATGTATATATGTATTTATGTATATGTGTATATGTGTATGTATATGTGTATGTATGTATGTATGTATGTATTTTATATATATATATGTATAAATGTAGAAGTGATATGGGCATATATTGCTTTCTGGTGTAATAGCTTGCGTCTGTCTCCCCTTTAGTATTACCCAAGATCGGATGTGTTTCGCTGCTGCTTGCTTCCTCTAAACATTCATATCAATATTGCTAAAGCAAGAGAGGTGCCTGGCTTGCTGCCATGTTCACGAACACCGACCCCATTTTAGCATTTTAGTTGCAACTTGTCTGAGATGGATCGAATAAATGGGGGTTACACGGACCCATGCTGGCTGACACCAAGCCACTTGAGTATAGGTGTGACCACTGCCGAAGCAAGCAACTGGGAAATAGGGGTTCGTAAATTGTCCGACACATGCATTTGGGATTGCCCGGACTGGTAGTTCAGATCGCAATATCATACGTACTGCTGCGTGCTGCAAGTAGAAAATGCACTCAGCCTCTCTAGCGCTGTTCGGGTTTGTGCCCATCTGTCACAGGAGATGAAGAAGCACTTTGTCAAGGCACTGTCGGGGCACTGCCATCCCTTGTCCCGTGGCCGTCTCGGTCTTTGAAGGTACTGGAAAGGGCGCAGGGCAGGCAGCCGAAGCTACTTGATCAGCAGAGGCTCCACAGCCCGCTGCTTCCTTGCGTCACGTCCTGTTCAAGTTGCCGATGTGTTTCCGCAGGCCAAGAGAAGCGAAAGACCTCGAGACCATCGATCCAGCATCTGATGCCGTAGCAGCGTGTCGCGTGATGGCAGAGGGCCGAGAGTCTTTGGGAGTTCGGCCGAAGCTGTTGCTGGACGGCCGGGCGCGAGGCCGTCACTGCCACCATGAGCTGCGTCGCAGACGCAGCCCCCGGAACAGCAGAAGAGCTGCTGCCACTGGGGACGAAGGAGCCTGATCATCCTTTGAGTCCATAGGGGTGCTAAGAGAAAGAGGACTGTACTGTGAAGAAAGGGGCTCTTCAGTGTGGACTATTGGAAAGGACTTGTCGACAGCGCTGGTCGCCTGCCGCCAGTTCGGGCAGCTCGGCTTCTCAAAGCCGGCTATGGAAAGAGCCCTCTCCCGCATTGCCGGGGCTGGGCCTCTCAGGCTTCAGACTGGGCAGAAGGCGCCTGTCGATGCTTACAGGTCTGTGCCTGTGAGCTTTTGCAAGCAGTGGCCTTCGAAGGCCCGGAAGCGTCGGAAGACCAGTGAGAAGGCGGCTGCGTCCAAGGAGGCTGGTCTCTTTTCTTGACCCCGCTCTTTTCTGCCTCCGACTCACTCTTTGCCTTCAGGTGCTGCAGGAGCACACGTGGTGGTGGCACGACGTGGCTCCGCCGGGCTTTCGCAAGCATGGCCGTACTAGATGTAGGACTTAGAGACTTAGAGCTTGTCAGGTGGCTTGCTCCTGCTTGGACCTGCTGTCCACCGCATGCAAACCCTCCGAAGGCGCAGGTCCCCGTCTTTGCAACTGCATCCGATTGCATCCTTCCAGATTCCAGCCACACCAAGACGGCCTCAGGTTCCGAAGCAAAGCCCTTCACCGACGCTGTCGAGGAAGTGTCGACCAAGACTCTCAAGCCGGATGAAGTGTTGCCGGATCGTTTTGCCTTGCACAGGAGCTGCGTGATCCGGTGGCCAACCTCCTGGATATCTTCGAGTTTCTTTCGCAGGCTGACCATCGGATTCTATCCGTCCCTTTTTCAGTTCCGAAGATACTCAGAACAAGATGTTGAAACTCTTGCCATCGGCGGGGACAGGACTCCAGCGCGACGACCTCGCTGCGGAGTGCCCAGAGCCTACGCAGGGCTAGACTTGGGGAAGGGGGGGGGGAGGTCTGAATAAATCGAAGCCTCAAATATCTCAAAGTTCTGGGCCTATACATCCTAAACCCTAAACCCTAAACGTTTCAAACCCCAAACCCTTAAAAACCCCTCAAGGAGGGCCCTGAGCTCCGACACCGAGGCCTTTCAGGCGGCTGGCGCAACCAGGCCCAGCGACTGGGTTTAGGAGGGCCGGGCATTTTACTTCATTTGGGGTCAACTTCAGGGTGATCCTGAGTTCCTAAGGTCCGAGAACTCCGCATGAGCGCCGTGAAATGCGTCCATCGCATTTGGATGGACCTCGGTGTCCAGGCATCCCGTGCACTACCCGGCAGGTGTGCGGCATGTGCAAGCGTGGTTTTTCACTGCAGGTCGTCATGTGCCTCTCGGAAGTGACGATGCATGCTTCCTGGCTCCTCGAAGATGAGGTGAGCAGCGGGACGCTTCGCGCCCAGAGCCAGAGGTGTTCCGGCTTACATCCTTTGCAGGACTCACGGGTGGAGATGGCTGTGCGGGCCATGATCAAGACGATGGAGGCAAGCAGCGAACACGCTGGTCTTGGGCTTGCGATGCCATGCCGGTACTGTGATGAAGTCCATCTTTTGACTTGGGCAGGACTGCACGGGCGAGAGCTTGCAGGACACCTTGAAAAGCTGAGGTGCTGCACTTTCGATCGTGGGCCCAACTGCCCAACATTGCTAGACTGCGGACTGTCTGCTGGCTTTCTCCGCGCCTACAAGTACAAGCAAGACGGGATGCCGAAAGCAACTCTTCAAGCTTCAAGACGTTGAAGTCTCAGAGGGGCTGCCCGCTGCAACGATTCGCAGCTTCACCATCGAAAAAGGAGCGAGGCTGATCGGACAGAGGATACCCGCAAGCGTCGAAGAGCATGTCCAAGTTCAACCGTCATCATGACCGAAATATAGGATGATCGCGAAGAGGATGAGAAAAAAAAGAAGAGTCCCCTCCGGCGAAGGGAAAATCAGGGGAAAAAAAACTGCTCCAGACTCCAGGCCTTGGTGAGAGAGCTGGGCGGCCTTTTGGGTCCAACGAAGGAAGCCGCCCCCCCTTTCCCCCCCCCTTCCCCCCCCCTTCCGGCTTGGCAATCAGGTCATCTGTTTTGGTGGGAGAGCGCGGCGCTGCTTGCAGAATGGTTCGGTACATCCACCAAGACCCATGTCCTGCGGCATCAGTAATTTTAACCTGGGGTCGGCTGTGGGAGTGTCGGCCGTCAAGCTGATACTGCGATCGCGCAGTGATCTTCATTAACATATCTGTCGGCAGGCTTATTAGACTGAAGAAAAGATCTGATCTTGCTTGCTAGTCCGAGTGAGCATGCCGCAGACAATTTCGATGATTGATTTGTCCATGTGCTTGTGTCTAGAGGTGCTTGGCGGGTTGGGTCAACCAGTCACGCGCGGACTGAATCCTCGACAAATCGAGTCTCTCAGAGCTTGGGAGGGTTCATGGTCACTGGAGGGATGGCGTGCTGCTCCCGGGCTTTACGTCATATCCAGTTTGCAGGAACTGTCATTTTGCATGATGAGGCCAGCTGCACGCTGGAACGTTTCTGAGAGGGGTCCCAACTTCAGTCCCTAAGCCCTAAGACCCTAAACCAAGCATGGCCACGCCCTGCTGGCACGAAGGCACCTCGCATTTCGGAACGCAGCCACACGTGGCCACTGCTGCTGCTTATATGTACCGTCTTGCCGTGTGGATCAGATATATAAGGAAGCCTCATGCCAGTGTTTGCCCAAAGCCCAAGACAGCAAGCAGACAACCCCGTAATCATATCCGAAGAGTGTTTTCGCGGGGTAGCCCGGACGAGCGCGAGCGCGGAGCTGAAGTGAGGATCCCCAAAAAAAGACGCGCTCTCTCCGAGCCTAGGGCCTAGGGCCTCGAAGCTCCGACCAGAAGAGAGAAGGCTGAGACAAACCTCAGATGTAAACCCCAAAAAAAGCAACGCCCGGCGACATGGCGAAGCGCGCGATGCGGCGTTGCCTGCTCTTCGTGGCTCGGGGCCGCAGGGAGAGGACAGGAGGAGGCGTTGCTCCCATATGGGCTGTGGCAGAACTCTGAGCTGAGCTGAGGTGGCTTTCTGCCGCTGCGTGGTCGGTGACGTGTATCTGCACAACCCCAGGGGCTCCAACAACAAGCCGCTCGGCTGCGACGGGCTCTACACGGACGGACTCTCCGGCGAATGGTGCCATATGGCACATGGCGCGGGGCGGTGGTTCAACTGAGGCTCAGCGAGCAGCAGAACAACGCGCAGAACCAGCCGAGACCCCGGGAGAGAGTTGTGTGTGTGTGTGTGTGGCAGGGTTTAGCCCGGGCTCTCTGCTTGGCGCCCTTTGCTTGGAGCTCGTCTCTCTCCGCTCAAGGAACCGGCTCTTCGACTCCCAGAACAACGCGCAAGGCACGGCGAGCAAACCCTGTGGTGCCTGGGTGACAGGCCTAGGAACCCAGAGATGTATAGATAAGCTTGCCGGGGGCGGGCAGGTGTACACCTGCGCATATTATCTATGTCCTCCGTAGACAGTTGCTACTAGTGATAGAGACCGTGAGATTGCGGAAGAGCGACAGGCTGCTATTACTACCCTTGTTCGGGGTCTACTGGAATGGAAAAGGCATTGGCTAGTGCTGAAGCTTCGTGCATTCGTGCCAGTAACAGATATTGCTGAAGTGATGATGTGTTCGTCAGCATCTGTGGAGGCTGATGAGAGGCCTGAACCTCTCACGACGTATCGAAAGCGCCGACAGAGGCTGTAACTGCAAAAGGCTACGGCTAAGAGTAGCATGCACGTGGGATAACGCATCTAGTCAAAAGAGCTCTCTCCCTAGCCCCTCCCATAACCTCGAGTGCCACCCCTGTCCTGTTGCCAGGTTCGTCCCTCTCAGGATTGCCAGGTGGAAATCTGGATGCCAAAACCGGTGACCGTGCAACTAACGCACTCTTTTTCCCTGCAAGAATACCGTAAGCATGAGTATCCCTGACGAGAGGCCATCGTAAGCATAATTATCCCTGAAATCCCCGTAGTAAGCATGCTTATCCTTGAAAACCCGTCGTAAGCATAATTCTGTTTAAAAAACCCGTCGTAAGCTCAAGGCCCCATGAATGGGATGCTAAAGGGATGTGACGCCGCCAAGCACCGCTCAGAAGTGACAGAGAGGTGGTTACCAAATTGGCGACAACTGTCAGAACGCCTGCCAGGACCCTTTGCCTTAGCACGCGCGCCTCTAGGAGGGGTCGAGTCCACGTTCTTTGCCACAGGACGAAAACCGAGACTACGATGCCGCCAAGAGCGGTGCTATGAAGGAGCGAAGCAGAAGAGACGAGAGCACACAACACATGTCACGGAGCTGTCATTGCGCTCAGGGGCACATGACCTACTACCAGGGCTCAGAGCTCTACATCGAGTGGGCCCCAAGCCCAGTCGGCCCTCTCAAGACCCACTCCACGGCTCTCACGCTCTTTAAAACCTCCAAATCTCAAGCTCAGCTCAAGCTCCTTGCAAGACTTCAGACGCCGACATCCTTCTCTCAAGTCTGTCGACAGCCAGAGACGGCCCGACCGTCCAGGCCTTCAAACTCTCGAATCCCGCCGGCGAAACCTTCTCCACAGCGACAGCGCCGCTCAAGAAACATGTTGCTGCTGTGAGGGCGTCCGGGATTTCCTAGGGACCTTAAGCCAATCAGAACCCCACAAAACGAGGCGCGCGCAAGAACGAGCTTTCAAATCAAGCTCTGCGCTTGACCACTCAAGCACTGCATCTCGATCCTGTACAGAGCCTGCATTCAGCCTTTAGGCACGCCAAAAGCCTCCAAAATAAGAATTTGAGCCCTTCATGTTCTTAAGCTCAAGTTCTTATTGGTGGCTTTTTTGATGAGGCCGGAACAACAGCTTTAGAGGCCTGACGAGGCCCTTTGAAGCCTTGAGGAGACTTGAATATGGGCTGAGTGAGGGCTTGGTAAGGGGTTGAAACCCACACAACTAAGACATCAAGCGGATATCTTAAGTTTTTGAGATTGAGAAGCTCAGCTTCTTGTTTTTTTTTTTTTTTTTTTNNGTGGGGTGCTCAATCAAGAAGCAGCGGGTCAAGAAACTGAGTTGCTGGTTCCACTTCCTTGACCTGTAGCTCAGTGGGCAAGCGGGGCCAGCTCCACGTTGTTTTTGAGGGAAGAAAATCGATGAGTTCTTATCTTCAAGCTTGCGTACTTTCTTCTGATTTTTTCACCGCCAGGGGCTCAAATTCTGAAGCCAATGGTCTCTAAAGCAGTGCTGCTACTACTACGACGACGACTACTGCTTCTCCTGGTCCTATAGTGCTACCGCTACGGCAAGGACTACGACGACTACCACTGCTACGATTACGACAACCACTACTATTCCTACTACTGCCACTGCTATGACTACTGCTGCTGCGCCTGCGGTGCCACTACAGCACTGCTGCTGCAAGTGCTACTGATGCTCCTTCTGCCCTCTGTCCGAACGTGGCAGTCGGCAATAGAAAGACCGAGGAGCCACTGAAGACGGTGTCTGGTTCAGGCAGCAGGACTTCCATTCAAAGACAAATGCCTATGTATCTGAGGTGGTGCAACACGGCTGTGGCCTGGGCCAGCCCAACGTCATCTGCCAAATGGTGCGGGCCCCAGCGAGAGGGCCGCCGTGGCCGTGGCCGTGTGTCTGTTGCTTCCCGCTTGAGCCCTCGGCCCTCTGCGTTTTCGCGTAAGGTGCTTCAGTACATGTGCGAAAAGGACAACCCAGGCATCCGAGACGGCACCAAGCGCGGGAACGAGAACACCGCCGGCGGGGAGCAGGAGCCAGAGCTCTGGAGCTTTCCTGAGCAGATGGTCTTCTGTACCACAGGAACCTCCCACCGCCCTGGAGGCGCCCTGCCGGCTACACATAGGGGCGGGCAGGTCCAACACTCTACAGGGCTACAAAGCGGCGGTGGTGTCAAACACACAGCGAAGCCACAGCCATCATCTGGCCCGCTGTAACGTAGTGCTCTTCCGGAAGGCCGCGGAGGAGTCCCTTGGCCAGCACGAGCCCTTGGACTTCTACCTTCAATGCAAAGAGTTGCCTGGCTCGGATTGTGTGCTCGAATATACACACGAAGGATTTGCGTGACAGTTTCCTTGCCGTGCATGCCGTGTGCTCGAACATACACACGAAAGATGTCCGTGACATTTTCCTTGCCGTGGAGGCTGTGTGCTCGAATATACACACGAAAGATGTGCGTGACAGTTTGACTTGCCGTGCAG